AACAGAAGCAAATTTGACCCTAGAGCTCATAAATGTGTTTTTGTTGGTTATAGATCAGGCACTAAAGGTTATTTAGTTTATAATTTGAATACAAAACAGTTACAGGTCTCTAGACATGTAATTTTTGAAGAACTTGTTTTTCCTTACCTATTAAATGCCACAAAGTCCACTAATTTTTCACCTCCACAATGCATCACATGTCCAAATTCCCAATTTCTCACACAACCCAATGTTGTACTTGAACCTATTGTACTTCAACCTGCCCCTCAATGCCAACCCAATGAAGAGCAGATTCCTTCTCATTCAGATTCTGCTCATTCCCCATCTTCTTCACCTGTACCTCTAAGGAGATCCATCAGACACAAACAAAGGCCTGCATACCTTAAGGATTACAATTGCCATACTACCTCTCAACAAGCTAATCAAGGTACTTCTTATCCTATTCATTCATTTGTGTCTTTTGCTCAATTATCTCCTGCTCATGCTGTTTATAGTGCTTCCATTTCTGATTGCAAAGAACCTAATTCCTTTTCTGAGGCTAACAAGTTAGAATGCTGGAAAAGGGCCATGGAAGCTGAGATCTCAGCTCTTGAAAATAACGGCACTTGGACTCTTGTTCACTTACCTCCTGGTATAATTTCCATTGGTAACAAATGGGTATACAAAATTAAGACGAGGTCAGATGGGACTATTGAGAGGTACAAGGCCAGATTGGTAGCTAAGGGATACACACAAATTGAGGGGCTAGACTATTTAGATACTTTTTCTCCTGTTGCAAAGTTAACTACTATCAGAGTTGTGTTGGCTTTGGCAGCAATGCAGAATTGGCATATCCACCAACTAGATGTCAACAATGCTTTCCTTCATGGAGACTTAAGGGAAGACATTTACATGACAATTCCTCAAGGAATGGTTGTCTCAGGTACCAACAGAGTCTGCAAGTTGAGTAAGTCATTATATAGATTGAAGCAAGCAAGTAGACAATGGTTTGAAAAGTTATCTACTTTCCTTTTAAGCCTTGGTTATTCACATTCTGCTGCTGATCATTCTCTCTTCCTCAAATTTTCAAATTCCTCTTTTACTGGGTTGCTTGTCTATGTTGATGATATTCTTCTTTTTGGAAACTGCCTTACAGAGTTTGTTTCTATTAAGAAGAATCTGCATACAGTGTTTGGAATTAAGGATCTAGGCATACTAAAGTATTTTCTTGGGTTAGAAATTGCTCATTCATCTGTTGGCATCTCAATTTCCCAAAGAAAATACTGCTTGGAGCTTTTAACAGATGCTTCCATGCTTGATTGTAAGCCAGCAAATACTCCTTTGGATCCTTCAGTACATCTTCATCAGGACACAGGACAATTATATGATGATGCTGCTTCTTATAGAAGACTAGTTGGTAGACTTCTCTATCTTACTGCCACACGCCCTGACATTACGTTTGCCACTCAGCAAGTGAGTCAGTTTATGAATTCTCTGACTCAAGCTCATTATAAAGCAGCCAACAGAATTCTTAGATATCTCAAGAAGGCTCCTGGACTTGGCCTTTTCTTTCTTAGGAAATCTCATATTCAAGTCAAGGGGTTCTCTGATGCAGATTGGGGTGGGTGCCTGGATACTCGCAGATCCATCTCAGGTTACTGTTTCTTTATAGGAGACGCCTTAGTCAATTGGCGTTCTAAAAAGCAAACCACTGTGGCTCGCTCTTCTGCAGAAGCTGAGTATAGAGCCCTGGCAGCAGCAACTTGTGAACTCCAATGGCTTCATTTTCTTTTGCAGGATCTGCACACTCCTTTGTCCAAGTCTCATGTTTTATTTTGTGATAATCAGAGTGCATTACACATTACACAAAACCCAGTTTTCCATGAACGCACCAAACATTTGGAGCTTGATTGTCACATAGTTCGTGAAAAACTTCAAAGTGGACTTATGCATCTTCTTCCTTTGCCCTCTAAAGATCAACTTGCAGATTTTTTTACCAAAGCTTTGCTGCCTAGACTTTTCCAATCATTCCTGTCCAAGCTTGGTGTGCTCAACATTTTTAGCCTTTCAGCTTGCGGGGGGTATTACAGCCATCTTCACAATTGGCTGAGTCACCTTAGCCTTGCAACAAACCTGCCAGCTGTCCCTGCTAGCTGTCCTTATTCTGATTATTCCTTCCTGTACTGCATTTCTGTTATTTTTATTCTGCATTCTATTTTTTTCTCTTTCTTGTTTTCAGCTGCTATATATATGCAGAGTATTGTATCTTTTCAATTCGCAATGAATTAGCTCACACAAGGCTATTACTCAGAGTCTTTTATCATGATGTTTCTCATTTTAAATGTACTTCAAAAGCTCTTGGCTACACTCCTTGATGACTTTTAATGCATTCTTCAATCAAAATGTGAGTGTTCCAAGAGATAAAAACACCTAAGCCAACAACAAAAGACAACCAAAGCATATCAAATTCTAAAAACAATGAAAATATGCCATGATTCAAACCGAAATGCAAAATATTGAGGGAAAACTAAAATTAAAATGCTAGTTATGAAGGTAGAAAATGTAATAAATCACCTATAGGAGTCATGACAATTAAAGCCTCTAAAAGAATCACATCCCACGCTTGATGAGTTCGTGATAGGGAATCCTTGGAGCTCTAGTGCTTAGCATGACCAAGCTCATGCCCAACATCAACAATGTTACAAGCATTTTATGGCTCTTACATCAGACATGTACCTCCCCATGTCCAATGTGATTGTCACGAAGTCCCTTTATTACTTTCGCGTTCGATGTCTGCTAGGTGGTGTCCGACACAATATCATTAAATTCTTCTTCTTTTTTTTTTTGCATATTTGTGAATTACTCTCATTTTAAATCTCACCACTTACATGGATTCATGTTAAAGAGAGGGTATCTAAATTTTAATAAATTCATTTTTATTAATAGAATTACTATATGAAATTGTTTCTCTAATATAATTTATTTATATTCATTCTTTGGGATTTCCCCCTAGAACCCACATACACTTATAAATTTACAACAAAGGAAACTCACAAATCAACAATACAATTACATGCATGCATATAGGAATCAAGAGACAATAAATACACATTGCAATTACAAAATAATAATTGAATCTTTGATTATCTACTATCCTTGGTCCTTTTCGTATCGAATATTCATTGTGATTTATAGTCTATTAATTACTAATTAATCAAAACCATTATAATAAAATAATGTGCAAAATGTTATAAATAATCTTATAAAAATCTGACAAATAAATCTCTAAAAAAATATAGGGAGAGCCAGGGACGAATCCACTTGTGATATTTTTTTTATAAAATTTATATTTCATTAGAATCATTATATTCTTTAATGACGGATTATTTTATTTTTAATGGAAGATTATTATTTTTGTGTCAAGGTCTAAACGTTTTAGTTGTGAAAATAAAAAAATTTAATTGTTATTTTTTAATATATTTTTAACAAATTAATTTACTTATATTTTTGTAGTGAAAATAATCAATAACATTCTTTTTAAAATAAATACTGTATTTTCCTTTTTGAAGCTTTTATTGTGAAATAATTTTATTTTTCTATATTAATTTAAGACAAATATTTTGTGTATAATTTATTTTAATTTTTATAAATTATTTTTACAATTTTAAAAGTTATAAATGATTTCATCTACATTAAAATAAATTTATTGAATTTCTCCTTTATTAATTTGATTATAAATCGATTTTAAAATTAAAAGTTAGTAGTATTTTATCATATATAATGCACAAACATATTTATTATATATTTAAAATTTAAAATAAATTATATATATATATATTATGTTTTATTATCTAAATTATATTTAAAATAAATATACATAAATATTTTTAAATATATAAATTATACTTTAAACTTATGATAAATAATTCATATTGTAATAAAAAAAATATTTTTATAGAATATTAATATTTAATATAAATAATTATGATAAATAAAAACATAATTAGATAAGTTTCTCATTGAAAAATACTTACAAACCCTATAAATCCTATAAATAAATTAAAAAAAAATTCTACAAATCCTCTCATTGAAAAAAAAACTCTTAAAAATACTCATTTTTTTAATTTAATATATAAGGTTGATTTATATATATATTTTTTGTCAATACGATATATTAACACTATATAAGAGATGGTATAAAAAAAAACACTATATAAAAGACTAACATCTTAAATTTTGCATCTTGCATCAATTATTTTCTCATTTTTTTTTCACAATATTTTTAATATTCTCTTTGTGTTTCTCATATATGTCGTATTAGGCAAATTTATCAAAAAACGTATTTTCCCATTTCCTAACAATCAAAGGTAAATTCTTGTTCAATGATTATTAACTATTATTGTCCCAAAATATAATTCAACGAATAATATAATTTATTTCGATCTAGTAGATTTTATAACATAATTAATAGAATTCTTTTAACAAATTAGGATTAATGTGCATACCCATTTTTATTATAAATTGATTAGTCGAGTTCTTAATGACCTGGAACTAATGATTGAGAGTTGTAATTTAGAGTCTCTAAAATGTTTTCTTTTTTAATTTGTTGTACAAGTAAATATCTTTCCTATTACATATTCTAAAATTATTTTAAAGACATATAATTATAAATATTGTTTATAAATTTTATACTTAAATATTTATTTTTTTTTATTATTATTTTGGCCTTGTCGGGGGAGGTAGTATATGGTACAAAATCATATAACAAATCGATGACGACGCAGCCTAGAAAGACCAAATTAATGTGTCCAAATTAACTACGCGTTGAAGTTGGGAATTTGGAATGAAAAAGACTTGTGACACGTGGCAAGCCACAAGTGGACCCCATTTAGGCTAAAAATGAAAACGCTGTCTTAGTTTTCTTAACTATAATATACTAACGTGTTTGTGTTTGTGTTTGTCCCACACGCCATTCAAATTTCGATTGCATTAAGGAGCATATCTCCCAATTACTATATATACTACACATGCATGCATATTCAAATTTCATATTCTCTTATCGTTAAACCCTTAGAGCAACTTCACCATCACCATCACCATGAGTCACTTCAACAATCACCAAGAGGCCCCTGGTGAGTTTAATTACATCATTCACATAATGACACAAAACTGTTCTTGTTTTGCCACAACAAAACATGGTTTCCTATATTAATTTTTTATTTTATCTAAGTCCATTTACCCCAATTAAAGATGGATTAGCCATGTTTGCATGCTCAAATCAATAGTATTTACTTTCTTTTTCCTCAAATATAATAAATTTATTGACTTTCATAATAACTATGTTAAAAATTATATTAACCTTGTGATTTCTAATTAATAGACAATATATTAAATCCAAATTAATTAGTTAATTTTCATTTAAATTGTAAAAATCTTTCTAAATAGGATTAATGAGATGATATTATATATGCTGCAGAAGTTTCATATCCACCATCAGGTCAAGCTTATCCTGTAGCTCCAAATGTTAGTGCCCCACCTCCTATGGGTTATCCTTCGAAGGATGATCCTGCAGTTGTAGGGTACCCCCAACAAAGGGTTCGACAGGAAACTAAAAGCAGGGGTGAGGGGTTTTGGGAGGGATGGTAAGTTCATTGCCAAAATCAAGATCACTACACCTTATTTTTAGGTATAATTTTTTATAAACATGCACCAAATTATTGTTTTGACTTTTTTTTCTTCTTTATTTTGTTGCAGTTGTGCTGCTTTATGTTGCTGCTGTGTCCTGGATTGTTGCCTCTGATAGAATCATGGCACATATTTGCATGTGTTTTTCACATTGTTACCTTTCTATTGTATTCTCTGCACTATGCAGAAGAATAAGGATCTTTGTCACCTTGGACAGAGTGAATTGTTGATTTTTCCTTGTACTTTGAAATTTTTATGATGTATTATTTAGTCACTATATTGTACGATTTTTTTTATCATAAGTTATTTGTTTGAGAACTTTCTAATGGTTAACCTAACTGGTATTTCAATCTCAAAACACATTTGCCAACATTATAAGTATGTTTTTATACACTTCTTTATAAACACTTCTAAAAAAAATTCATAAATTAAAACTAACTTTTACATGAATTAAAAGACAAGTTTTTTTAAAAAATTAATAAAAAAAATTTATAAATTAATTTAAATTATAAGAAAACTTATTTTATTTTTTCTTCTAAAAATATTTTCAAAGAAATTTATCCAAACAAACGTGATATAATTAACCAATGGATTCAAATTCAAGAAGTAACTTAAATAAATACTACCGTCATAAAAATGACACGAAGAAAATAACATCTCTAAGTCTAAATTAGGCCCTTATTTTTTAAATTAAAATACTAAATTGAACATTGACTAAATTAAATAATAAAAACAAAAAATAATTTAATTTAACATATGATGGAACGAGGTAAGTGAAGTGATTGATGATCTTCCTTTTCCTTCTCCAATGTCACGATCTTCTTCCTTAAGGATCAATTCTGGATTTGAATATCCAGAATTGGACACCAAACAAGTTTTCCTAAGCTAAAGAAGGAAAGCAAACACAAAGGAATGCTCACGAAAGTTTAGAAGCTCTCGAATTTCCTAGATCTAACCAAGGGATTTTGGTGACTTTAGAGGGAGACTTTGCTGAAGCAATGTGTTGAAAATCTCTCATATATCAAAAGTCATTACAATGTGAGAGAATGGCTTGATTTATAGGCAAAGGATTAGCCCAAAATAGCGCCAAATACATGTATAAGCTTGGCGTGGAATTTGAATTCAAATAGCATTTGAATTTCAAATTCTCGGCCATTTCCATGTGCTTACCCATGTGCTTGATTCCAATTTGAGTTAAGGTTGCATTTGGACTTCATTTGAAGTGTATTTGCCTAATCAAGTTTTCTCTATATTTTTCTATTTTAATGACCTAAATACGATGACCTATCAAATACAAACAATAGAAAATAATAAAAGAAGCAAAATGAGCCCAATATTGGGTATCAAAATACCCAAAGTCCATTAAGCTCGAAAACAAACCCAATAAGCTTATGGCCTAAAAATCCTAATCTATGTAATCCAAAATACAAAACTAAAATATATGAAACCTAAACTAATATTATATATACAAATAAAGGACAATGGGAATCTCATGGTATGACCCATGTAAGGAATAATTTGGGTCCACCGAGTTCTGAATAGCTCAAATTTTCATGTCTAACACATTTTTCTTGGGTCCTTTAAGATGTCACTTCATGACTTCCTTAACATGATTTCATCATATTATTAGACTTATACTCCTATAACACATTTAGTTGACTAAAATGTCAGTGATTAATCTAAATATGGCTACCTATAAAAGATATTATGCAATTTTTGAAACTAAGTTTTTTTGAACTAAAATTATAGGAAAAATCTTATAATATCCTATTCAAAAGTTCTCTATTTAATTAAATGAGTTAATTGGAAAGTAATTTCTAACTTTTATCTAATAGAAGTGAGAAGTTATAACTTTGCATCAAACATTCCATTACATCGTCCTGTGTGTTGGATGAGTTTCCAAACACACATCAAGTATCATTACTAGTATTAAAAATAAAAATTGGATAATGAAAAGCTATATATATAGTTTTAAAGTAATAATTAAAAATAAATACTAAAAAAATATATTATATACAATGACATACAAAAAGTGTTATTATAGATTATTATTACATTTATCATCTTTAATAATATTTACTTACAATTATTAAAATATTATTATAAATAAAGTTAATAGGTTATTATAACATTTTTTTTTCAAAAAATGTTACTATAGATAAAGTAATATTTTTATCTTAATATTATTTTTCTAATTAATTGCTTCTCAAAATTAAGTCTCACATCGAGTAAAAAAATGACATATAAAGAGTATACTTCTCCAATTTTAATTATATTCCAAAATTAAAGTCTCTCAACAAGTAAAAGAATAATGCATAAATAATATTTATAATTATAGAGTGAAACTTAAAATGAATAAATTTTGATATGTGATTTAGATTTAATAATGACTAATTTATGATATCTTTATCCTTACAAGACTTATAGCCAAGACTCATACAGTATAAGTGATAAATTGATAATACAATCTACATTAATACTAATTATTATTTTATAAAGTTTACAAAAATATAGCAACAATATTAAAATGTTGCTAAATATCACATTGGTAACAATTTTTAAAATGTCGCCATTAATATGTAAAAATATTGTAAAAAATCTTTGATAACATAAACTTTATCTTATATTTGATAAAATGTCATAAGAGAAAATTAACAACATTTGCTCTTAATTTAACAACATTTTTCTAATGTTGTTAATATACAATATGTAGATATAAATCTATTTAATATATATTTGCATACAATTTTAATGTTTTTTGAATGAGATTAGATAACATATATTATGTGATACTATAACTTTTATCTATACATTTTAACAATTATAAGAATATAATTATAAGTAAAAATGATTTTTAGTGACAAATATTATGTCACTTCAGATAATTTTATTTTGTAAAAATTGATAATCTTACTGTACATACCAATTTATCTTCATGGAGGATTAATCCAAGCTACCAGAAAAGAAGGTCCTGGCGAGTTGTAGAATCTGATTTATAACAAACCACTCTGGCCAGAATTTAGCTTTGAAGATCTATGAGTTCCTTGTTCTCCAAATCCACTAGCAAGTGCAAGCAAAGATATCACTACGTGATCATTTCTCAAATGATGCCTAAACCAAAAATATGCATCCATTGTGTTAAAGCTGCTATCAAGCAGAATACCAATGTTATTTCAAATAATTTAAGGTTTAGCTAGGACTGGCCCGAAGTAAATGAATCCAAGATTTGACTCCCATTTTACACCTGTTACAAAAGGGATCAAAGGAAACATGCCTAATAAATGAAACAAGCTACAAGGAAGGTTATTATGAAGCACAAGCCAAACAAGATGCTTAATCATTTATGGCAATTGGAGTCATAGGTGGGAATTAAAGTAGTATTCACAAAATTTTAAATTTAAACTTTGTTGTTGTTACTGCAATTTTTATAAATAAAAATAAAATCAAGTATAATTTTAGAATGTTGCATAAAAAAAAAAGAGAAAATCTTCGATTCTTGGAAACATAAATAATCATCAACTAATATATAATTTTTAATTTGGAAGTATTTAGTATATGTTAATAAAAATCAGTTTGAATTGCTAAAATTATTGTACTAGATAGGATAGATATAGTTTTTTTTATATTTTGATTTATAAAAAAAGTCATAAGATAAAATAAATTAGATAAAGATAGGGTAAACTTAATTTTTTGTTATGCAGAGATAACTTTTTAAATCAAATTATAAAATATTATTCAAAAGATAAAAGCACTCACCATCAATATTATTATTATTGCACCACCACCACTTTGTCCTATATTATGATCGTTAGTACCTACAACCACCCTACATTGTATTACTACTCCCTCAGTTTTTTTTCATAGTCGTTTAAGGTTTTGCACGGGAATTAAGGAAATCATTGATATTTTAGTTTTCAAAAAATATATATTACTTATTTTCCTATTTTACCCTTTTTTTTTGCATTTTTTAGACTGTTGAACTACTTCATTAAATAGTTGTCCCCTTTTTTTGTTTTTTTATAGTATTTTGTTGGGAACATATTGCTCTTATAAATGCACATTAACTTTATATGAGTAGTTAGAGAAAAATTAGGTAGACATTAAAAATAAATACACACATTGTTCAGGAAACATGTATTAATTATCAAGGGTAAAAATGGAAGAAAAAAATTAATAACTCATTGATTTTAGTAATATGAAAATGAAAAAAAAAATAACAAACTCTGACAAAACGACTATGAAAAAAAAAACGGAGGGAGTATTGTATTTGTCATCAATATCGTCAACATTATAATTATTGTTGTCATCAATATTATTATTTTATTAATATTATCATTGTTATTATCATTATTATCATCATTATCACTACCATCATCACTAGTATTAAGATAATTAATTAGAACTAATTAAGATAACAAATATTTAATAAAAAGTAGTGTAGTAAGTATAATATTATTTTATTTATATTGTCCATTTTTCATCAAATAATATATTAAGTAAAAAAATCGTTTAGTAAGCTAAGCTTTTATTGTATTTATAAATGAAACTTTTTTCAATCAATTATTTTTTCCTCTTAAAAAAATCATTTTCTAATTGTCCTTGCATTAATTATTTTTCTATGAATAACCTTAATTAATTAACAATTTTAGGCAAAAAAATTAATTATGAAAATTAATTAAATAAAAAAATATTTCATATTATAATTGAAGAAGATGAGTAGACATTCTTAGAAATTTTATTTTTAATAATTATTATGAGCTACATATATTATTTATAGTATTTATATTAGTTATTTACATTTAGTTAGGCTCTATAAAGTGATCTAATTTTAGAGAACCTTTAGACTGCCAACAGGAAAAATTGATATGGGCCCAAATAAGTGGAAACCAGATTTGGCCCGTTAGGGGTTAATGGGAACCTTAATAGGTTTAAAATCGTAAAGATGGTCATGGTCCCCAATATGCAAAATCAGAAACACACGTCTCTCTGTCTCCCCATCAGAAGAGTAACATCAAGTCCCGTTAAGGAATCCAGTGATTTGGCAGAGGAAGATCATTGCACCAAAAGACTATTCCGCTGCAACCTTTTGATCAACATCAATGGATACAGGTTCGTGTTATTAACATTAACTTTGTAATCTGAGACAACGGTTCTTAATATTGATTAATGGAAAATATTTATTTGACTTAAGAAATTTATCCCAACAAGTGGTATCAGAGTCACCGTTGTCATTAGGTTATAGGGTTCTAAAGTGTATTATTATAATTTTTATTTTCATTGATAGTACATGTATTTGAATGCGTTGGTCGTATGATAGT